CCGCTAAATAAAAAAGCAAAAACTTTCTTTATCACAATGCCTAAATACCCATTGAATCACTTTAGTTAGGGCCATGGGACCCAAAGATTACACAACACGTTTCACACAACACAGAATAAGCTAAAATACAAAATTTCCACATTTTTTTCCCGATTCCCCCCTTTTCGATTAAAGAACCGTAATTCGTCCTTAATATCACATGAATATTCCTATGATCTCTCATTTCCCTCACGCAAAATAATGCGTAATCGGAACTGAGTACTGCTCACATTATTACCAAAGTCCCAGGTAGTAACCTTTATCGCCTCCAAAATGTCACCAAACTACCAGTTACCATATTGTAAAGATCAACCAAAAAATGCATTCAGATATATATGTTCTGCTTTACCACTCAGCAATACTTGAGCGAATTTTGTGGCATGGGCTATGCTATCACATTATTTTGAGTTTATTAACTTTCTTTAAAATATGGTCACTTTTATCTGGTTGCATGTGTAGTCTCCCCTTTATTTTTTGTTTATTATCTTTGTCTTTAAAATATTCACATTTCTACATACTCACATTCTCTACATTGATTATACAGTACAAAGTCTTTAATCTGGACGTATATAATCCGGGCCTCAAAGCTACAAACTTTCTGTGCATGCGTAGTGTTTACGCATGCACATATGCGTTTACGTATGTGCATACCTTTATGCATGCGCATTTATGCATGTGCATAATACGTTTACACATGCACGTTTATTGTATACTGGCGATATAAGCTAGGCTAAAATTATCTAATTATCTATTTCAGTTAATGTTGCAGATTGCGTTGTTCCTTAATCTTCTAATTGGATCCCGCTTATTATTTTTTGCAGACTATTAGCGCAATTTTATAAAAAGTAAGCTTGAACTTTCGATTATGTCAAAAAGATTTTCCGATTCTGTAGCTGCCAAAGGATCTACATAGCGAAGGCATGTTTTGATGTCCATCAAACAAAAGTACTGCAAAAAATGGATGAAGGCATGAAGAAAGTGACAGAGAGGTTAGTGAAAACAAAAAAAAAATTCGATTGACAAGTTAGTCGGTATTCTCGGCACAGCAATTACAGGACTTGAACAGCGAAACTTTGTAACTGAACAAGAAATTAGGTCTGTTTATAGAATTAAAGAGAAAGTATTAGCACACAAAACGAAGCAACTTAAATAACTTACATTGAAAGAAATGTTTAATAAAGTAAACAAATAAATATTAAGCTTTTTTTTTTTTTTTTTTTTGTAAATTTTGATACCCTTTAGATCATAATTGCTCTTTATTTCATAAATTACAGTTTCATATTTTTAATTGTATAATTTCTGCATGCCATTTTACCAGATTTAAATTGATGATCTATAATCCGGAATCCCCAAAGTCCCGACGAGTCCGGATTAAAGACTTTGTACTGTATATTCTTTATGAAAATGAATATTTAGACAAAATAATGCATAAGACAATTTAATGAACATTATATAACATTACAGAACTAATTGTAGAATGGCTACTATGTGGAATGCTATCAAATACTGCATTTTTAAAGTAAATAATAGAAGCATATTTCTATCCTAGTTATATGAGAACTGAATAACATGAGATTATAGTATATATGGCAGTTTTCAGATAACTGGTAACCCTGACAAGCGTTACAACCCTGCAACCCACTCAGGATATTTTCCTGAAGGACGAAAAGGGATTTTTTCTGTTTACATAGATTTAGGAAACGTTACGGTAAGACAAAATAAAAGTTGGAAAATCGTTATCGGGAGTTAGTTATAATTTGCAGTTTTCCTCATAATTAGCAGAACAGTGATGAGTATAGTCAGAATGTCAACATAAATTGGGGTAACTTAAATTTTGTCTTGTTTTTTGCAAGTTGCATGTTTGGTAGTTCAGAAATGTTTTCTCCTCTCTGATTTCCCTCGGACAGGGATAATAATTTTGGCCGCCATCTTGGATTTCAAAATGCGCTCCTTGGCACATTTTTGAAATCCATGATGGCGGGCAAAAAATCGCCATATTCAGCCAAGAGTTGGGCATCCGAAATGAGCTGAATTTCTCTTGAGTTAAAAATATCGAGACAATAAAGTACAAAATTTTTCAGATTCTTTCCTATTAATAAGTTGAATTATAAAAGAAATATTTCACCATGCTCTCTCAGTGAATTTCAAAATAAATTTAGGCTCTCATTTCTCTTAATGTTGTTCTGTGATAATTTAGGTTGACATTCTGACGATACTCATCACTGTTCTGCTAATTATGAGGAAAACTACAAATTATAAGTATTCCCGAAAAATTTCAAAACAAACAAAACATAAGGAAAAAATCAGACTCTAGTTTGGTACCTGCATATAGTTTTAATGCATGCAGAAAGTATGTGTCCTTGAAAATTTAAACTTATGTTTTCTGCTGGCAATTTAAAAACAAAATGTTTCTCAGACACATTTAATAAATAACTGTTTCTTACACTTTTTGAAAAGATATTTTCCAAATGCCCTTTTTACATATTTATGCACATGGGATTTCTACAACATTGATATACGCAATAAGTGATTGAAACATTATTGAAGTTGAAACACATATTTTTATGTCTAATCACACAAACAGGGCCATTCCTACACCATTGACTGCCCACATACTTTATGATTACCACCCTTAAATTTTAAGAAAAAGAGCTCAATCATTAATAAAACTTTTATTTAACTCACTAAGTATTCACATATGAAAATATGTATAAAATATACTTACATATAAAAAATAGTTACAATGAATTAAAAATATTTAGTTATCGTCAGAAGCTGCCTGCCCCTGATTTTCGCCGCCCGTGTACTTTTACGTGCTACACGCCCCGCTAGGGCCCTGCACAAAACTATATTTAAATTTTGTGTTAACACCAAGAAAAGCCAAATTCAATCAAATGTACTTGCAAGCTACAGCATGCATATGGTGATGAAATATTTAAGTATTCTTCAGCATTTCAGAGCAACAAGAATGGGAAGGTGGTAAGTGAAAAGCAAGTTGATTTATCGGATAAAACTGTTACAGATAGGAATAAATACATGTGTGAATTATGTGTCTTGGGTATGGAGAATAAACCAAACAAGAAAGGTAGGTAGACCAGATTGCTTTTGTGAAAATTGATGAAAGTTTGTTTACTAAACGTAAAAATAATTGCGATCGAGTATTCCCCGAACAGTGTGTTGTTTGGTGGCATATGCAGAAAAACAAGATTCATTTGTTGTTACTGTTCCTAATAGAACTGGCTCTATTCATAATAAAATTATTGAAAACATTGCAGATGGTAGCACAATTTATTCTGACAGTTGGAAAGGTCACCAAACAAATAGAATAGAAAAAGGAAGATTCCTACATGCTAAAGTTAATCATAAAGACAATTTTATTGATCCTGAATCAGGAGTTTACACAAACAATTGAGAGAATGTGGGGCAGTTCTAAATGGAGGATCAAGACACATGGGAACAGCAAGACATCATTTAGAATCTTATTTAGCAGAATTCATATGGAGAAAGCATCAGGTCACAGAAAATAGAGACTGTTTTGAATCTATGTTAAACTCTATATCGGTCCATTTTCCACCGAAATCCGACTGACTACTCTGATTTTAAATAAAGTGTTTTGATTTTTGAAAGTGTTTTCATTTTAAATAAAGTGTTTTAATTTATGATTTGTAGCGAAAATTTTAGGTGTAGATTGGCGGCACTTAAAAACCGCAAAATCTGCAGCTGTGGTGGTATTAATACGTAAGTACCACACCTTCTTTTTCAAATCTCTCTGTTATAATTTTACACTTTTCTCCTTCCGAAATACAGAGCTATCTGTTTCTCCCAAAACAAATGGGAGAATTGGGTTCATTCAGCACTCTGTTGATCAGAAAAAGCATTTCCTCATTGTTCTATTTACAAAATTTTCATCAAAATTCTGTGATCTTGCAGAAATTCTATTGCAGAATTGTGGAAAAATTGCTTGCACATTCTACAAGGCCATATTTTACAACCAAGGCAAAAAATATCATATGTTTATAAAAACAGACTTTGAAATACAACAAAAAAAGAATGCACATAAAATAGCAGAAGTACTTAATTGATGGATTATTATAAGCATGGTTATTCACAATTTTGCGAGAGTTTGGCATATACTGTAAATCATGGCAACTTGTATTAAGCAGGCTGCATCAACACATAAATACCACAAAATGAAACCTTACTTAAACATGAAATTTCGATTTCTTTCAGAGAAACTACAAGCTGCATAGTGGCATCAAGAAAATAGTTCACAAATCATTTTTTAAACATTCGACACTGAACACATAAGCTTGAAGAAAAACCTAAATATCTCAATATTAAAAAAGCTAATGAGGAGAAAAATACTTAAATCCTACAGCACTAAAGCTACCACAAAGGAATATATTTCATATTTTGTATGTTTTTAGAAAAATGTATTGAAAAGTCGATTACAGAACAAGATATGAATGAAATTTCTATTCAAACGAAAATATTCAAGATTACAAGCTGTCAAACAATTCACCTGAAAGGGAGGAATGCGACATCAATAAAATTATCTTATTCAGAACAGTATAATCAGTGTCTAACTTTTCATTGTTCGAATATGCTGTTTTAAACTTTCATTACTCATTGATATAAGAAAATATTGCTTTAAATCAGGAGCACAGTCAAATGACTTGTGACTTATCTCACAATCATCTGGTTTTCCTCTTGTAGAAACAAATAAATGATTTATTAAGAATTGAAATGAACAAACAAGCTCAACACACCTTATCCAAAGACATTTCTTTATAGCATGAACAGGTCTTTATTGCACACATAAACAAAGGTTCTTATTAATTTAACTTTTCCACAAAAAACATTAGCCTTCTTATTATGTGTTGACATGAGACTTCCAATTTTCTATAACCCAAGTGATTTGTTAACCATAAGGTTATGAGTTTCTCTCCATAAGGTTATGGAGTTTCTCTCCGGTGTAAATTTAGTAGATTTTTTTTTAAACTAGAATTTTGAGTAAATGACTTATTACATATCTCACAAACATGATGTTTCTCTCCTGTATGAAGAAGCATATGGCTGTTTAAATTACTTTTCCAAGAAAATTACTTGTTCCATACCTCACACACATGAGTTTTCCCTCCTGTGTGAAGAAGCATATGCCTGTTTAAATTAGTTATCTGAGTAAATGACTTGTTACATACCTCACACACATGAGGTTTCTCTCCCGTGTGAAGAAGCATATGGTTGTTTAAATGATCTTTCCGAGTAAATGACGTGTTACATACCTCACACACATGAGGTTTCTCTCCTGTGTGAAGAAGCATATGGTTGTTTAAATGATCTTTCCGAGTAAATGACTTGTTACATACCTCACACACATGAGGTTTCTCTCCTGTATGATAAAATATATGCTTCTTTAAATCACATTTTTGAATAAATGACTTTGCACATAACTCACACACATAAGGTTTCTTTCCTGTGTGAATAAGTATATGTCTGTCTAAATCACATTTTTGAGCAAATAACTTGTTGCATACAGCACACACATGAGGTCTAACTCCTGTGTGAAGAAGTATATGCTCAGTTAAATGAGCTTTCCGAGTAAATGACTTCTTACATACCTCACACACATGAGGTTTCTCTAATGTGTGAAGAAGCATATGCCTGTTTAAATGACCTTTCACAGTAAATGACTTGTTACAGACCTCACAAACATGAGGTTTCTCTCCTGTATGATAAAGTATATGCTTTTTTAAATCAGAAGTTTTGAGTAAATGACTTTGCACATATCTCACACACATAAGGTTTCTTTTCTGTATGAGTAAGTATATGTCTGTCTAAATCATATTTTTGAGTATATGCCTTGTTACATAACTCACACACATAAGGTCTCTTTCCTGTGTGAAGAAGCATATGCCTGTTTAAATTAGTTTTCCGAGTAAATGACTTGTTACATACCTCACACACATGAGGTCTCTCTCTTTTGTGAAGTAGCATATGCTGTGCTTGTTTAAATGACTTTTTTGAGGAAATGACTTGTTACATACCTCTCACACATGAGGTCTCTCTCCTGTGTGAAGGAACATATGCTTCTTTAAATTACCTTTAGAGCAAATAACTTATTACATACCACACACACATAAGGTTTCTTTCCTGCATGTACAAAGTCCAAATGAATTCTTACAAGCTTTGCACACACGTTTCTTCTCTTGTATGTATATGCAGATGTTTGTCTAAAAAACTATACTGTCTAAATGACTTCTTGCATACCTGACACACAAAGTTTGTTTTCTGTGCCAATAAATATATGTAATTGTTTAAATAATTCTTTCGTCTAAATGACTTGATACACACGTCATACACAAGATAAAAACACAGAATATTTGTCAAGCATATGGACTTTGAACCTGGAGTTGTCGGTAAATGAGTAATTGCATACCTGACATTATGATTACATCACATCCTGCAGTAAGCAGCGAATGCAGATTTATTTCATGCTTCTGTCTAAATGAGGTTCACATACCTCGAATATACGAGGTTTTTCTGTTCGGTAATTCGCGTTCTTTTAAGACGTTTCTTTCCCCGTATTACATTTTCCAATATACCTTGTACTCAAATATATTGGAAAACCTCTGAGGGTCACTTTGAAAATATAAGCTAGCACTGAACGCTTATACATGGCATTTTGCGAGATATTAAAGTTTCAGGATGAAAGGTGGAATGCTCACTGTAGAGTAAAACGGATGGTGCATGTATTGGCTCCTGAATCCAAATTAATCTTTATAATAAGAACTCCGTTTTCTTCAAATGACGTTAATCCACATTTTAAAACAAAAATAATCTTTATTAAATCTTTTGACAACTGTTAACAATTTTTAGGACACCAGCATTAGAGCTGGAGCAAACCGCATGTATTCATTACTGAGTAAAGGGCACATCGTTGACTCGAAGTACCGATTGCGACGGCCGGCTAAAACCGTGGCCTTCGAGAAACAAGGCCGTCCAGCTCTCTCGTGACGTCACCGTATGGAGTGCGAAGAAACCTTTCTTCTCCACTGAAAGCGAGCGATTCCACAACGCGTTTATTTATTAGTAAAAGCCAATTTTATGTTATTCCGATGTAAAGTAAACAGGAAATTATTAAATAAGTGATACTATCTTAGCATTTAATTAAATATCATGCTTGAAGACTTCAGGTATCTGAGCTTATTTTTCTTAACGCTTGATAAAAATTTTCATCTGGGTGATCAATAATTATTTATTTCAATCCCATTTTACTTTCTATAGTTTGGATAAACTTTTCAACACTTAAACGCTATAATGCAAAAATGTTATGCTTTCGAACTGAAAATACTGCACATTATTTTTCATTTATAGATAAAAATGAAAACTATGAATAAAAAGAGCATTTTAAAAGAACCCGATTTTTCTTTACAGCCTTTTCTAAGTAGTACATAATTTTGTCAGTATGGCGATAAGATAAAAGAACTGAGCATTTTTCGGTTATTACATTTATTTTTTAAAACAAAATCTAGTGTAAAAAAGGTCTTTTACAATAAACTAAATATTAAAAAAGGCATAGTTCATCATTTATTTATTGGTATAAATAATTTAAAATGTAATTTTTTATGATAATTTTTAATGCCAGCATTATTTTTAAATGGTGTTACTGAAAAAAATCCTGTTCATAAAATAATTATTAAACTTACAGTGAGCAATATTCTTATAGAATAGAATCAAATTGAATTATTATAGAATCAAAACCAAAAATCTATTTTTAAACTTTCACAGAAAATTACTTTAGTTTTTGTCGGCTGTCTTTATTAAATAATATTTTGATTAAGATATGAATTCTTACTATTATCTGAATTACTCTTTAGCAAAATCTTGATATATCCACATTAAAATTTATGAAAATAATAATTAATTTTTTGGGCTCTCTAGATTGAAAGTTGTGCCTGTAACTATGTGCGAGTTTTGATATAACTTTTTTGAAACTTAAGGGACACACTACAGAATTATAAATTACATTTTGAAAGAAACAAAAGTTTGTTTTAAATTTTAAAATATAAAAGGTAGTTAGCCGAGGTTCCCACATCTCGTTACCGAAGTGCACGTGGTAGAGCCTATATCATATCAGGGAAAGTGCAATGACAGTATAGGATACCGGACGTCCCTTGCACAAGCACTTCATCCCCCCAGTATATTTTATCTTTTTAAGTATTTATTCTGTTGCATCTATTTGAAACACCATATATTTTATAGCTCTTCCAAAATTTATCATTGCGCTAATGTGTGAATTTTTTTTTTTTTTTTTTTTTTTTTTTTTTTGTTAGTGGCTCGTTATCTTGAATTTTTGTCATCTTTTCTTTAACGGACTGTTGTTGCAATAAATCATTTCTTTTCTTACAATAGTTATTGAGCATTGCATTTGTTGATGATCAAATTATCATTTTTAGAGCTTTTTCAAACATATGCCCATTTTCACAACAATCTTGTTTTTTTAAAAACTGTTCCTTCATTAGATATTCTGATGTTACATTAAATGCTGCTTTCCTGTTGATCTTGAACTTTCCAAAATTCTTTTTCGAAATCTGAACACAGTTTTTGAATTATGATATAATTATAGAAAACAACATTTACTACATACTTTGACGGATAAAAGAGTTTACCACGGTCTAACATTTTGAAAAAACTGAAACTTTCATCAAATGCTAATTCTTTTTTTAAAGAAAGGTAGTCTTCACAAAATGAGCATTGTAATTTTTTAAGAACACTCCTAACACAGTATCCTGCTAAATATACGGACACAGGCAAATAACTTTCAGCTGCTGCTATGTCTTCATCAGATATAAATATATTTAAAGACATTTCGTTATCATTTTTTTCGTGTTCTATAAAGTTTTCTGCAAGACTTAAATCATCAATTTCTACAATTCCAAGTTTTTTACTTTTTAACTTTATTTTCATCAAAGACATAAGTCGAATTTTATTTTCAATCTCAAATATTTGGCGTTATCAACAGGATGAGGATATTTTTTTCTAATCATGACAGCAAAATGTTTCATTAAATCTTGTAACAGAAGCATACAGTATTCCAAGTACAGTTTTGTTTAGATTTTCAAGGAATTCCCCACCAAAAAAAAAAAAAAAAAAAAAAAAACGCTATTTTAAAGCAAAAATATTAATATAAAAAACGTAATAACAAATTTATAAAAATGAAATTTTTTAAAAAATAGTTCTATGTTTTATAAACAACTGGTTTAACAATATTTTTTTCCAAGTTTTTTTAATAATTTTTTTTAGATATAATGTTAATTACAATTTTCAGAATAAACTTGAAAATGTGACAAAAAAAAGAGTTGAAAGGGTAATGTGTTTCCTTAAAATATTATAAGCACACGAATTTGAATTTTTAAATGAAAAACATTATTACTTTCATATCTCTAAAACTTAATGACAAGTGGTTTTAAAATAAAAGTCGAGATAAATTAGATATTACAAATGCTATTTTAAGTTCCAGATTTTGTATATTTTCCCGATTATTGCTTTATATTAAGCACTGAATTTTCTACTGAATATTTAATCTGCAGTATATGAAGTAAAATTTATTATACATTAAATAATACTATAGTATTATGAACTTAATTACCCATTAAAATATTCACATGCAATTTATGAAGCAACATGCATTTATTAAAAAAATTATAGAATTCACTTTAAGACAAATTGCAGGAAACAAAAGCTCATTATACTGCTTATTTACATTGGCAATGATTTATTATATACTTTTATATTTTACACTAGTTATTGTTTACTATTATATTTAACACTAGTTTTTTCATTGGAAATGATTTTGGCTTTAAAAACAGACATATTAAACATATTAAATATTTAATTTTTTTCTTTGAATATCAATGAAATCATAAGAATAAAAGCTCACCCTGCTATTTTTAGTTGGAATGAAGTCCTTTCGCTTTATTGCACGGATCCACTTTTCTTTCAGATCGGCATCATTATTAAAAGCGAAAATGTGCACTTTAGGTCCAGATTTGTAATTGCCGTTAAATCGCGGCACTGAGCACATGTAAGGCATTATATTGTTTCTGGAACCACTCACAAATTGCCAAAAACCTCAAATTTAATATATCCAGCTGCAGGAAAATCAGGAATGTAGTTAATATCTCAAGATTTTAGGTCAAGAATTTCAGTTCAACCTCTTCTTTCGAAGCAATGGCGACTGACAACCTTTGACCCAGCGTTGCCCTCATCCCACGAAGGGGTGCACTCTTCACCCCAAGAAGGGATGCACTCTCTGGAATGACGTCACACGCTCAACGTCACTGAGCTGTAAGGCCTTGTTTCTCGAAGGCCACGCTAAAACCCGCCGGGAACTGAAGAAATTCAACCAATCAGAATAAGCTACCGCCGGAGACTGTTTTTGGCGACCACTTTTATGCCAGCATTGAAGGGTTTGTTTGGATTTATTTTCCGCTCATATTCTCTTTTCGTATCTTTTGATTACGTCTTTCTCGCATCAATTTATAATAGTTTTCTAACTTTTATTGCTATAAAAGACAATGTAGTGAATACGGAAAATTCGATGGATTATCACGTGAAATGTGTAATAAAATTTCTAGTCTCTTCCCGCAAAAAAAGGTGTACGGTGTTGTATCGCAAAAGTTTTATGCTAAATTGTACATTTCACTTTATTTTGTGGCACTGAAAATTACAGAAAGAATTTATTTTTTGATCATCAAGAAAAAATGCACATGAAAAAGGCTTATTAATTTGGCCTGTGCAGAAGATGTGTTGCTTTTTTCTTTCTTTATATATATATAAGTATTTAATTGGGTACTCAATTTAGCCAACAAAGCACATGCAGAACATATATAATATATAGAAGTTCCAAATA